ACTTCGTTCGAAAAATCACGATATTAATGCGTGGTTGTCTTATCAAATTCCTTTCAGATTACGTTTCACCGTCGACAGATGAAACAGCAGTCAAGTGTAAATCCGCGTTTCAGTCTGTGGATTTTAAATATCCAAAGCCAAAATATGCTGACAGTGACATTTGTTTAGACATTACATTTCTAGGGTACTTCACTTTTCACACCTTCATATTTTTCATGTTATATGCAATGTATATCTTTATAAATTAAAAATCGATTATAAATTGAAAAACTACGACTCGGGCAGGACCTTAACCTACCTCCACGGCGTTTCCTGTTGTTGCCCTTGTCTATTTTTGCTGTACCGCTGTAGCTCAATAGTAAAACGCGCGGGTTCAAATCCCGAAAATATTATAAATTTTGTCGGTTGGAAAAATGCCGGCAAAGAACTTTAAGTAAGTGTAAAATAAAATCGATCAGTGAAATACACACTGAACTGAGTTCGCCCATCCTCTACAGAGGTATACCAATATTTACTGAATTTGTGAAACTATACAAAATAGATTTTGAATTTTAATTAATAATCTTTAAATCATTTCGTTACATTTATCACAATTGCGAACAATCATTTCTATGACCTAATTAACGTGCAAAAAACTAGGGAGTTCTGAAGCGTAATGAAAATGGGAAGTTTCACAAAATTTCAGCCTTGAGGTAATGTTGAGGTTCATCTATCGTCCTCAGTAGGGACATCAAGGGGGATTTTCGTAGCGCCTTTCAACGTCAAGATAGCTTTAAATGTTCGCACAACATCCATCTTTATTATTTCCTGGTTTTGCTACAGAAACACCCTATATAAGGAAAGTCGAGTTACAGCTATACGTACTGACTTTAAATTGCGAATTTTACAACAAATGTTTTGGTACTAGATTTAAAACTTTACGATTTATCTAGAAATTTATTAATTCCAAATTTAAACATATTTAAAAAAGGTTATCAGACCTGAATCTCTTACTTAACTGTTTTATAAAATCGAAGTTAGCTCAGTTAGTTAGCTCTATTATTAAAATGAGGGGAGAAGTGTTCTTGAAGCATCCATAAACTCTATGAATAAAATATAAACCATAAGAAAACAACATGAAGCAACTCATTTATTACCAAGTAATAGTAGTATCGCGTGACTAGCTCTATTTCAAAAAACATGGAATATCTTCAGACGAAAATTTAATGCCAGCATTAAACATTTTTCATCATCATAACCTATCCTTCCATGATCAAAACCTTCTACATCAGAATTAGCTGTTCCAATACTGTTGGTCACAGCTGTTGTCAATCATTTAGAAGTTTCGGTGCTCACAAAGGTAATTTTGTTTCACGAACAGGCATCAAACTTTGAATTTTACGTACAAAAATCAGTAACAAATACTCTCTCTACTCATCTAGCATATTTACATAAATAATATATGCACTAAAGTAGGCGGAAATGACGTCACAATTTTATTCCCTTGATAACAGAAAAGTTATGTTAAATTATTAAGGATTTCGCGTGACAACTAATATTTTAAAATGCGTGGCAATACAGCGTGTACAATATGTTTATGGTATTATTAGCCCAAACAAACATAAATATAAGACTTCTTTGTGTTATAAAACAACAGACAATTTTTTAAATCAAAACAGAAATAATAGAAATCAAAACATTTTTTAAAATACAAAATTAGTATTAGATTAGCTTAAATACTGTCTATAGTTTACGCGAGTAAAACGCGATATTTATTTATTTATTTATTCATAAGGTACACAAACAAAACACAAACAGTTATAAACAATAAGTCTTAAAAAAAAAAATATATGTGATAAATTAAGTTTGTATCTCAATTACATGCGTACACGGAGAAACTAAATCGTACTGTTATCAAAAATAATGTATAGGTTATTATGTAATTACATAAAATAAGTAAAAATTATGTTATAAATGTTGTCTTACGGTAACATCATTTTTGTATTAATTTTTTAGTTTTTTTTATTTAGTTACTACTAATTCCTAAATTAAATGGTTTCGTTTATTTTTTTACAAAAATTAGATGTGTTACTGTTGAAGACGTCCAACTGGCAAGAACTGCGTGAAGAGTACTCGTTATATAGTCTACACATGCGAACAATAGGATTGAAAAAAGAGGTGTTGTTCTTAAACGTTTTTAGTTGAAAGGCCATCGGATGTCTAGGGTTGGGTCTTGTATTTAAGGAAAGGAGAGAAACAAGAGAAGGGCAGTCAATATGAGAGTGTATAATTTTATGAAGTGTAAGTAGGTCTTGGCGCTTGCGACGGTTTGACAGAGAAGTTAACTGAAATTTTTTGAGTCTCTGCTCATAGTTATTGACCGCGCGTCTAAGGCCAGATTTGAAGCATATATACTTTAACGCCTTGCGTTGGACACGCTCAATATTATTATCATGTAATTGATAGTGCGGTGACCAAATTACTGCACCATACTCAAGAACTGTTCTGACCAGCGATTTGTAGATATAGATGAAACTATTACTGAACTTAAAATTCTTACTTGAGCGTATTACAAAACCTAGCATTCTGAGTGCTTTATTAATTATATAGCCAAAATGTTCACGAAAAGACAGCTTAACATCAAATATAATACCTAGATCTTTTACAGAGCTTTTGAGAGGTAATTGTATATCGTTTATTTTGTAATTGTAGGTGGCTTTTACTTTTTTATTACTGAAACTTATCGATACACATTTATCAACATTTAAGTACATCAGATTATCATCACACCATTTGATAATACGATTAATGTCATTCTGAAGAGCAGAAAAATCAGAAGTACTGTCAATGGTACGGAAGATTTTGAGGTCGTCGGCGTATAATAGACAAGGACTAGTGATACTTGTAGCAAGATCGTTTATAAATATAGCAAAGAGCAATGGGCCGAGATGGGAGCCTTGCGGAACTCCTGATTTTACACTAATCGGTGAAGATTTATAGCCATGCAAGATCACAAGTTGACTTCGCCTCTCGAGGTAAGATTTTATCCACCTGAGCAGATTACCGTGCACCCCGAGTGAAGATAGTTTTTGACACAGAAGATTATGGTCAACCTTGTCGAATGCTTTTTTAAAGTCAGTATATATTGCGTCTACCTGACCCTGACGCGCGAAAGCTGAGCAAATATAGTTTTTGTATAGTAACAGGTTAGAAATCGTTGATCTGCCTTTTAGAAAACCGTGTTGGTTTTCAGAAAGATAGGGCTTAAAGTGAGCATAAAAGTATTCATAAACTACTTTTTCGAATAATTTAGCTAGAGTTGATAACATGCTTATTGGCCGATAATTTTCACATTTGGTAGCATCTCCACTTTTGAGAATTGGCACTATGTAAGCTGATTTCCACAACGTTGGAAAGATACCATTGCTCAAAGAAGCATTAAAGATAAGAGAAATTGGTGCAGAGAGTTCGTCTGCGCATTCTTTCAGGAACCGTGGTGGGATGCCATCGGGACCGGCAGCCTTATTGGGGTCGAGTTTTTTTAATCCTGATAAAACATTACTTTTATCTAATTTAATGTGTGACAGGCAACCCACAGTGTTGCTATTCGAGGGAGTGGAATAGTATGTTGAGTTAGTAATAGACGGTTCCTGATACACAGATGAAAAGTACTCAGACAGGAGATTACAAATATCTTGACCAGAGAAGGCGCATTTCTTACCAAGATTCATTGTGTTCGGAACTCCTTTGGAGTCTTTTTTGCTGTTAACATATCTCCAGAAGAATTTCATGTCTTCCTTCAGAGACAGTTCTGTATCGCGTATATAAGAATTATAACAATCCTTAAGTAGGTTTTTGCAGCGAACTCGTAGAAGAGAGAACTCGTCGTAATCTCGAGGATTTTTAAATTTTTTATAACGCTTGTGTAATCGAGCTTTATTTTTGATCAATTTTTTTAATTCTTTATTGTACCAATGGGGAAAAGTAGATTGTTTAGTATATATTAAGGGGGTAAATTGGACATTAATATCATGCAAAATTGAGTAAAATTTTTTGACTGACAGATCAATGTTTTCGAAATTTCCTAATACAGTGAACCAATCAATCGCAGCCAAGCTAGATTTAATACAAGAATAATTACTTTTTAGGAAATTAAAGTGAGCTGTTGTATTGCGCATGAGATTAGAACGTGCATCACTTTTTAATTTGAGTTGTATTAAAAGTGGAGGATGATGTAAATCAATGCGCGATAGTGGTTCTGCAGCAACAACTTCAATGGCGTCAAAAGAAGAAAAGACAAGATCAAGAAGTCGATTATTAATATTTGCTATATGGTTAAACTGATACAAATTGCACAGATAAACCGATTCAGAGAGAAGACGTGCTTTGGTGTCAGAGGGGTCAATAGGTTGATAGGAATTAGGATTAACCTCAAGCCAACTGAGATTGTGCGTGTTGAAATCACCTAATATTAGGACATGCCTATTGTTCGCTTTGTGAAGTACAATATCTTGTAAATGGCTATAGTAACTATTCAAATCCTCTTTAGTCAGGTCTGGAGGCAAGTAGCAAACACATATCAGTAGGCCATTCAGAGAAGAATTGTTCAGATTTACAGATATCCATAAATTACGAAGGGGGTAGGAAAAAAATTACGAGAGCGTGTATGAAGATACACGCTCTCGTAATGTTCTAGGCGAATTGCATGGATATTATTTTTTACAGCTATGAGCACTCCACCGCCATCTCGTTTACTTGAACAAGATAAGTAGCGATCCTTTCGGTATACTAAATATCTATTATCAAACACCTCGCTATTAAAAACCCCCTGAGTGAGGTTTGTTTCAGTAAGACAAATTAAGTCATAACTTGAATTTAACACATTTAAAAATAAATCAGTAGTTTTAGACCTAATTCTATTTACATTTTGGTAGTAAACTTCCATTATTAATTGCTAAATTTAATATTAAGGTTCTTAAGTAGGAAATTACAATATAAGAAAAAAGAAAAGAAAATCAGCATTAAACTATTTTAGACACAAATTCTAAGTCCCTAATATAAAGCGCAGCCCCCCCATCTTCTTTTCTGACATACACACGTTCGTCCTTGACCCAACAATATTTATATTTCTTCTCTTTGCAAGCTTTTCTTGCAGCTGCGAAAATGGCTTTACAAGTGGAGGAGTGGTGTTCAGCAATAAATAAACGATTTGCAGGCCCTGGGATATGGAGGTGGACAGAGCTAACAGGGTTCTTCTTGTTATAATTTTTAAATGCTGATATTATTGAATCGCGGTGTCGAGTTGAGGGTAGACTGACAATAATATTGCGTGGGCGTTCTGAGTTAGGGTTGAGCGATGCTACTCTCTTGATTGAAGAGATATCGCCTTCTGACATGGGGTGGCCAATTAAGTCGCACAATGATTTAAATATAAAAATCAAGTTCTCATTCCGCTTCTGCGGTATGCACTGTATTTCCAAATTACGGCTTCGAGACGCCTTGTCAAGAGCATCCATCTGCCGACGCATATTTTTAAAAAGGGACTCGGACTCCAGTTTATCTTTTTCTAAAGCCACAATCCTTTCCTCAGCTGTCTCAAGCGCCTTCCGCAAGTCCTTCTGTTCACCAACCAGGTACTCCGTTGTCCGGTTTAGGTCGTCTTTTAGTGCCCGGGTAACTGAGGCACACTCATCCTTCATTCTAGACGTGATGTCGCTCATCAAAGACGACTTAATAGTGTGCAATCTGGTATCAATCTCGTTAATTAGACTATATTTAATACCTTCGAGTTTCTGATCTATTAGTGCGCTAAACTTATCAAATGAAATCACATCTTGTTGGTTGCACGAAATATCAACTACATGCGAGTCCTCAATGGACATGGTGGAGACGTCTAACCGAGCAGGAGGCAAAGGTGGCGATCCAGATGGAGTATTAGACTCGGTTTGGTCAGCCGACAATTGTATGCGGGTAACTTGCGAGCGAACTGGCGTATTATCGCCCTTTAAATATTTATATTTGATATCACAAATCGGACAGATCCACTGCCGTGCACCACTCGCAAGGAATTTCTTATATTTTTTGGGCGTTATGTTTACACAGCCATGGTGAAAAATTTCCGCACAATGTGAGCATTTCAAAATTTCGTTTATGCTTACAGCACAATTGCAGGCTTTACACAGCATTGTTACAATTTTGCAATGACACTAGAAGAACACGAAAAGATAACTGCGCGGCCGATGAAATCCGTTTGTTTACTGCTCGTCCGAGTGTAGAAAATTCCTTTACAGCACTCGTAAATACACCGAGACAAAGGCGGAATACAGTTACAGAATACTAGTTGATTACACTTTAAATTTATAATCTAGCAATTTACACACAACACTTCTATTATTATTAGTTATACTACTAAATTCATTATTGAGTGAGTTAAAAAGACAACAGTACGAAAGACACATCAAGCCCGTGCGGAGGTTGACAGCTGACTGAGACTGAGATATATCAGTTAAACTTATTTGAAAATGATTTGCTCGCGTTTTAAACCGTTAAAGTGTTTTATTTAAATTAGATTAACTTATTAAATTTATGTAAACTTAAGTTTATTGTACTAAGTAACAACAAGAAACAGACCTTTTCCATATAAATATAGTACTGTCTTGCGTATTTATCTGTTTTACAAGAAACATATTAAAACAAAATCATCTAGTATATATGAATACATTTTCGAGTTTTGGCAATGTCTCGCTCTTATAGGTATTACTACAAACTTCTTAATTACTTCATAAATGTAACCAGAAAAAAGACGCGAATTAAAATTCGACGTGTAATAATCAATCATCACCATAAATTCACGAAGAGATCTATCTTGAAAATGTCATTAATCCTGTGATGATAAATTATTTGCGAATTGGGCAATTTGTTCTCGTAAAAATTTGGATTTGAACATAAATTTTACGGTTCCAACATTAAGATGGTACGCCAGATTTGCTCTGCCACAATTGTTATCTTAATTTACAAAATTAAAAGCATATTAAACGAAACATAAATTATCGATATTAAGAGACAAATTATTACATTAGCATTTATTTATTTCATTTAACTTGTATTTATACTAAGTATAAAACCGAAGAGTTTGTTTGTTTGAACGCTTAATCTTAAAAACTACTTGTTCGAATTAAAAATCCGTTTTGAGTTTACTAGAGCATTTATTGACGAGGCTTATTCTCATTAAAAGGAAGAAACAGTGGGAAATATAGAAAAATTTGCGATGCTTGTACTGCAAAAAGATTCAAGAATTCCAATACGTATGAAAGAAAGATTCCTCTTTGAATGGTTTAAATAAAACGACATTATGTGATTATCTTTAAAAATTCATTTGCTAAAAAGCAGGGTCAAACGACATCTTAGGTAACGACTCTATTTTATAAAGATAGGGAGGTGGTTTGCAAAAACAAATTACGATCTCCAAATTATTATACGCGTACAAAGTCGCATACATAGCTAGTTATTAATAGTGTTGGTGCCTTTTTCGTGATTTAAGTCCAGTACCATTGGATTTGACAACGAACGTACAAGCCAGCCAACTAAACGAATAAAAACGAAAAGTCGGAAACGAACAAATGCACGGTACTGACAAGCAGCGCTTCTTAATTATATATATACGTCATTTCCATTTTTCCTTTTTGATTTTTATCGTATTGGATGTTAACTTGGCAAAACTTCTCCATGTTTTTGCAGTTGATTCTGATCCAACCAGTAATTTATTTAAAAGGTATCAGAGGCTAAGGTAATAACAATAGTTGCTAAAAGCTAAAATCAATAACATTATTGTTCAGTAAATTGTGTATGGCTTTCACGGCCACCGTTCAGCTTATAATTGTTTTTCGGGATATTTGGCAGACGTGCCGATGAAACTAAGCAAGATGCGCTATCGACCTATTTTGACTTTGGATATTCGGAAATCTTCAGACTAAAACCGAAACGCGATTAACGCTCCACGGCGTTTTCATCTGCGGACGGTGGTTCGTCCGGATGGAATTTCAGTATTTCTACCACCAATTTAATTGCTCGATTTTGAGACAAAATCCAACATGTTTCAGAAAAATTATAAATAGAAACATTAATTTATACGATAGTTTAAAATAGTTTAGTTGCTTTTGACGGTTCGTTGTGAACTTATGTGACACCAACGCTCCCCTCAAACGGAATTCTTAAATGAGCCGTAATTTAGCTATAATATATTATTCTGTTTTCGCGTCGAAACCGAGGCCTAGTCTTACGAGACAGTTTTTCAACACGTCACTTAAGTGCAACACTCGACTTGTTTGCAGTTCTCAGAGTGTTAGTTGCTTCATTAAGGCAAGCGCGCTCCACAGCGCATTTAGCCTTTTCAAGTACTCTGCTCTATTTGGAGCTTACACGTTCCGATTTCGTCTAATATAGGATGATATTTTCGACAGTAAACGCCTATCAAGTTTTATATTTATTTCAAAAAAGTGTACTGTTAATAACAAAGTACTTTAGTGACGGTTACAGCTCACTTGGTAAAGACACTGAATAAGTATAACAATAATAATAATAAAAAACCGTTTGTTTAAAAGTTGCTCTCAAAAATACAAAGTATGTACTAATTTAAAAATTAATTAATAAATAGTTATACTATATAACTCAAGTATAGACTTATGTTATATAAATATATAAAGCTAAAAAATTTACAATGCCAACTCCTACGTCATCAGGAGCTACTCAGCAGAACGTTACGATCACGCTTGTATTGCAACACTGATTTTCAGTGGTCCCCGTCGCCACCGCTCCAATCCACAGAGTATATGCGTTAAAAACTAGTACATATATAGCATATCATTGTCTTTCGGGCTGTTCGGCCGTTGTGAGCGAGAAGAGATTCTCGATGTTTCGCCATCACGTGTGGACGTTTCTCCTGATGATGCCGTGAAAGCCTTACACAATTTATTAGTACATATATAGTTATACTATAGATAGTTGGTACTAAAATTAAACTTATGTTATATAAAATTCTAAATCGAATTTTGAAATATCAATGTCCATTTCAATGACATAACTATTGAAATGTGTAACAGATCATATACATTTTATACTACCACCATTTTATTTACCAAACTTACCATCCTATATTAGACAAGGTACAGATATGCTTATACGCTTATGAGTATAGGAGGGGTTAACGTTTTACCTTTTGTAACTGAAATAAAAGAGCTTCGAAATTTGGGTCAACTACAAATTAACCCACGCTCGCGTTAAATCGGGTTTAGATTGTGATATAAATTACTATAGTACTATTTTCAGTGTTTCAGTATCTGGAGCTTATCACAAATATATTTTTAAAGGGAGAATGTTAATAGTAAAAGTAAATCGAACGCTTGAAAAATGGCCTTTTATAAGATAACTAGCGGCCCTGTCCCGGCTTCGCATGGGTAGACATAAATAAGTACAGATATTAAAATTATAAGCATTGTAATTAAAACGACCATGAATCACAAATTTAGTAAAAAAATGTATTGCGCGTCCAAGCTTTTAACGAAAGTTCTGTCTCGTTGTGTCTCGTGCTCGCGTTCGCGAATTCCTAGCTCCTTTTCCTTATTTCCTTCAAGTCGCTGCGAGCGCTCGGCGCTTGACTGTCATTTGTATGTCGCCGATCTTGCATTTTGTTCGACGCTAGACTCTGGCTCGCGATTGGGACGCGTACACTCCAATACTTTCCAGATGATCTTAGGAAGAAGACTCTCCAATACGACGAACTTTTGCTACTCTCGCTTGGGAATTCTTGGGAATTCTTAGATAGATAGCTGCGACCTTCTTCTTCTAGGCACATTGCTATGAAGAATGTTTATTTTAAATCAGAGAAATTAAGAATAAACTAATAATAATACAAAATAAAATATTCAAGTTCAAAGCGATAGTTCTGAAAAGAACTTTGACAAATATTATGCAAAGTGTGATTCCTAATACTAAAACTAAGTGGCTCTGAAAAAACTTTTTAAGTGAAGCATAAAAATGTTAAAAAAAAACTCAAAATATTCAATGTCGTTCGCGCCCACTGCGTGCTCTATCGTCGAATTAGTTACCCGATGCGCGGCTTGGCGGCCGCCGCCGGCATGTATTTTTATTTTATGATATCTTTTGAATAGCATGTCCGATTTCAATAATTAAAAAAGTAATCATCAGGTATTGAGACAGTCTTGAATATTTAATTATTTATTTGAATAAAAATTTATAAATGGTATGGATAACACAGTCTGATTTTGATCGGCATTTCTATTAATTTGTTAAATATTAAAAAGTAGTTATAATGACGTAACTACAGCAGTTAGACATATGCTCTTGCGATGCTTTTTGTAGATATTGATATATTCTATAATATTGTCGAACATTTTTTTTGTCCTATCATTAATACTTTTCGCAGCGTATGCAAAGAAAGACATATTACGGCTAATTTTTTTACGCCTTCCGTTGGTTTTAGTAAGAATTTCTATATGTCATGTCCATAGCAATCGAGTACTTAATATATCCTATGTAGCTAGTGATAATGTAGCTTTCTAATGAAAAAAGGATTATTAAAATCGGTCCTGTTACTTCATAAGTTTTAATAACCCGAACCAAATACAAAAGAGTTAGTAACAATCTTTAATACCTCTTAAATATTAAAGATTTTAATCCTTGAAGTAATGTGTCTCTAACCATTAAAAACGTGCTAGGATGCACGACGAATGATAATAGTTATTTAAATACCTTTCAATCTTTTTTTATAACCTAGTTAATTAGTATTCAAGTACGACATCATCATGACAGACAAATAGCATCTAGTCATCTACATTGTAATAATCAATTGATGAAAAATCATACCAATAAAAAGTTATCTAAGTGGCTTAAAGGCAAAAAAAAAAAAAAACCCTTTTTAAACGTAGAAAAGCACAATTAATAGTGTTTTGTTTACAGTTTATTGAACATTACAGAAACAAACTTCTAAATTATATGTTTGTAGACCCAAAACGTTTTGTAAAGGAAACCACTCACTTAGGAACCCATAACCTACTTTGATGAACAAACTTTATGGCTTTTGAACTCTTAATGAGTTTGGGAATGGATATAAACCATGAAGTGATAAATATATAAAACTAGGGTCGTTATTGGGAGATCTTTATGTGGT